GTTTTCTGTAGTGATTGCACCATTCTGCATTCCCACCAACAGTGGGGTTCCCTTTTCTCCACAATTTTGCCCAGTACTTGTTGTTTGTTGATTTATTGATGATAGTCATACTGTCTGGTGTTAGATGATAACTCATTGTGGTTTTAATTTTAATTTCTCTGGCACTGAGCATTTTTTTATATATCTATAGTATGTTTTCTGTTGAGGTCTATTTAGGTCCTTTTTTCTTTTTAAATTCTCACTTCAGGATATGTTTAGAAAGAGGAAGGGAGAGACAGAGTTAGAAACATTGATGTGTTACTCTTTTATAATACTTCAGATCAGCTCCAGTTCAATTGGATTTTGAAGTTGATTGCTGTGTAGTTTAGCTCCAAGTCCTGTTGAGGTCTGGGAGTGAGTGGTGGAGCTTCTAGCAACTCTATAGCCATCTTGGAATCCTCACTCTCTTTTATTTTAGTCATTCTATTTTAATTTTTAGTACTGTATTTGTCCTGATTGAATTTTATGTTGTTATTTTCTTGTTGTTTATGATGTCTTTGGATTTTGGTTCTTTGAGTCTCTGTCTTGAATGCCTATATTTCATTTAGAACTTCTTTTATGCAAGATTCTAAAGGTATAAAATAATTTACATTTTTCTTTTTTAGATGGGGTATGATACATATCTTTAATTTTGTTAAAAGATGGAAGCCATGAGGGGTTCAGTAACCAACCCAATCATGTAGCTTGATGGAAATTCTATTTTTCTTTATTATTTAATTAATGTTTGTTACAAATGTTTCTCCTTTTCCCTTGTTGACACCCTTCTCCCGATCCTCCCCCCAGACATTGTTGTCCATATCCATTGGTTATGCATATATGCATATAAATTCTTTGCTTTTCACTTCTCTCCTCCTTGCCCTCCTCCTACATTCTTTTTTTATCCTCACCCGAGGACATTTTTCCATTTTTTGTTCAGGTAGACTGGGAGGGAGAGAGAGGAAGAGAGAGAGAAACATCAATGTGAAAGGGACACCTTGAGTGGCTGCCACCCGCACAACCAACCAGGGCCGGGGACAAACTGCAACCGAGGTACGTGCCCTTAGCGGGAACCAAACCCAGGTCTCTCTGGACCGCAGGCCCACGTTCTAACTGCTGAGCCAGACCGCCCAGGGCTCTTATTTGTGTGTGTGTGTGTTTTTTTTTTTTTTATCTCTTCCACATTGTATTACTTTTGAATCTCAGTGTTTAGTAATTTTTGAAAAAATCATTTAGAGCAAAGTGATTTTAATGAAGATAAAATTTCCTGACAGCTCTTAAGCTGATGTGCATCATTTTTTATTTAAAAAATCAGAATCAGAAATGTAAGTATTAAGTTTTATTGTTTTCCTTAGATATTCAGGTGTTCACATCCATTGGAATAGTGAACCATAGTCCTCATCCCTTTAGAATTGCTTTTACAACATGGAACTTCAATTCCATTGAGGCCACCTGGTCATGCAGTAGGGTATAGCACAAGACCTGTGGAGTAGTGGTTGGAATCTTAACTGTGCTACTCGCTAGCTGGTTATTTATAGCATTGATTTATCATCAGTAAGTTAGGCATGATATTGTGTGCCTTGTAAATTGTTTGTAAAAATTAACAACCTATGTAAAGCACTTTGCTTTCTGTCTGGTAGGTATATAGGTGCTCAGTAAATGGCAGCTACTGTTGCTGTTACCTAACTATTCTTTGTATCCATTTTCTGTTTAAACTCATATGGTAGTGCTGAGAGCCAAGACAATTTACTTGGTTGTTTCTAATTAGGATTAGTGAGAATGTAAAAGCTTTTTATTAAAATTAAAATATTTTATGGCCTTTGTTTTTGTCTTGCTTCTAGTTTTTTTTTATTCTCTCTTTATTGATTTTAGAGAGAGAGGAAGGAAGAGGGAGAGGGAGATGGAAACATCTATGAGAGAGAACATTGATTTGCCACCTCCTGCATGCACTCCACTGGGGATCAGGCCCACAACCTGGGCATGTGCCCTGACCAGGAATTGAACCTTGACCTCTTAGTGCATGGGGTCGACACTCAACCACTGAGCCACACCGGCTGGGCTCTTGCTTCTAGTTTAATAATAAAAAAAAATAAGTTTGGTTTTTCTTCTTTTTTATTTATTTATTTTTTATTGACAGTATTACAGATGTTTCCTCTTTCTGCCCCATTAACCCTCTCCACCCTGCTCCCATCCCCCTCCTGCTTTCCCCACATTAATGTCTGTGTCCTTTGGTTGTGCATGTATGCATATGAGTTCTTTGGTTTATCTCTTACCAACGTTCCACCCCCATCCTTCTGAGGTTTATCAGTCTGTTCCCTACTTCCATGATTCTGGATCCATTTTGATCTACAGCTTATTTTGTTTATGATAAACCATAAAGAAGTGAGAGATTGTGGTACTGACTGGCTTATTCACTCAGCATAATACTTCCCAGGTCCCTCAATGTCATCTCAAAGGGTAAGAGATCTTTCTTTCTTATAGGTACATAGTATTTCATTGTGTAAATGCACCACAGTTTTTTACCCACTCATCTACTGATGGACACTTGGGTTGTTTCCAGATCTTAACTATCGTAAATAGCGCTGCTATGAACATAGTGGTCTTCCATGATTTTGATGCTTGTTGAGATTTTGGTCACCTTTAACTAGCATGTGGCACAGCATTGTTTTGCTAAAGATTAATGTTAGATTAATGGGACAGTGTTGAAATGAGATAATTAAGAGTCTTTCGAAGATGTTATTACTCTTTGCTTCCATCATTATTTTTAATCTTTTAGCCTTATAAGCTCTCTGAAACTTTCTAAAGCATGACTGAAAGATGATTTTTCTATCTAAAAATAAGTGGCCTAAAGTAATTTGTATATCTCCATTTATAAGTTCAAAATTATTATTAAAGCTACATATTCATCCTTCTTTCAGCTATACACCCTCTCCTTTGTGGTATTTTTAAAGGATTCTGTCACCACCTTGGTAGTGTTCTGAATAACTTAATTTAATGGTGATGCATATTTTATTGAAGACCTTTAAAATAATTATGCATGATTGAACATTTAATTAAGTCATAAAGATGAAAACTTAAAGGTGTCAGATTTTACATACTCATTGAACTCCTGTGAATAAAAAATTCTCTTTTGGTATTTTATTTATAATTAATATGCCAAGTAAAACTAATTAGAAGTATCTGAAGTACCTAGCATAAGAAAGGCCCTAGACACATGATTCATAATTAGCACACTCTTCTTATTCTTGCCTTTTCCTCTTCAGTTGAATTAGTCACCTGTGTTCTCCTTAGTGTGATACCTATCTTCCTCTCCAAGACACTGACTAAAGTTCACTGATCACTGTTTGTGCTATTCTTATAGAAACTGTGGTTTTATAGGAAGTTTGTTTTTGAAACTTTAATAATTTTAAAAATACTTGAATTATATGCTCTATAGAGTATCACATTGAAGATTTTTGCCCACAGTATTAAATTACACATTTATTTTATTAGAGTCTGATGGTAAGCATAGCAAATAGGCAGACTTAACCACTTTTCCATCTTATACTTAAGGACGTGGATTTTTGTTGCCACTTTGATCAGTGTCTGCAGTTTTGACAGGAAACCCATTGGCCCTGGGTCATTGAATAGGGCTGGCATTAATTCATTATTTTGACAAAGAATTAACAGTTCACTAAAGATCTACTATATACTAGGCAGTGCCTTAGGCTTTGAGTAAAAAGAGAAGGGTGATATTCAGATTATTTACTAGTCATTATAACACAGACACCAACTAATTAAGATGACCATAGCACTGGTTCAGGGTTTTGTAGGACCCCTCTAATCTTTACTGCATCAGGCTTTGCTGCTTTTGTTGCTCTGTGGCAGTGGTGGTGGTGGTGGGGAGGGGCAGGCCATCACCAGGTACCTTAGGACTGATGGAGTCTGGAACGATGATTGTTTACCAGACTATTACAGAAGGATTTCAGTACAATCCTTAAGGCTGTACTGTTGTGTTCCAGCTGAATATTAACCCTGCAGAGAGGTGTTCAGTTCTCTGATTGTAAGAGTTATAACCCAGTTTGAGAGGTGCTTAATGGAAGTATGTAAAAGGTATGTAAGAGGAAGGTTTGTATGAGCCTTTTTGTGTGTGTGTGTGTGTGTGAAAACTACTTAAGACTTCTACAGTGAGTAGAAATTTGCTGCAGTTAGATTTAAGGAGGAGATTCTAACCAAGCAGAGAGGAAAATAGCATTTGTGAAGACAAAGGCGCGTTTGAGAACATAATGGATTCAGAGATTAACAGGTGAGAGAGATGGAGAGATGGAAGATGAATCTTTCTCTGACTTTTGCTTTTTAAGCCAAATAAGTATATATTAAGACCATATTTGTATCTTAGAAATTGTTTCATTTTTGGTAGAGAACTGCTAGACTGTCTGATACTTAGTTTCTTCAACTATATGTAAATTATTTTAGGCATAGGGAAAGAAGGGAGAATAGGAATTTGTTATACTTCAGGGCTATCCTAAATATTGATAGACTAAGAATGCAATTAAAACCTTTTTCTGAATTCACTGAGAGGCTTCTAATGAGCAAACATAAATTCAAACAGATTGAGAATGGTAATTCTTTTAATGACAAAAAACTGTTGTCCATGAGGCTTTTGGGCTAACATCATGACAATAATCTTGTTTAATGGCTATGGAGGCCTATAAATTCAAGTGTGTACAGTAGTAAATTACTGGCCTGTCAGGTTCTGAATAGTAGCTTTTGTTTCCATACCATCAGGAGCAAGTATGTGCACCTCTTCAAGGTTGTATTTGTATATGCTTAGATAATTAAATCCAGAGCTGTCTAAATATAGCAAATCAAAAACAGTGAAATGATTTTTTTTCTTATACTTACGTAACTTAGGGAACATATCTATGGATATCTCTTGTAATTTCTGAGAGCTCTTGAAATATATCAAGCATTTGTAGTAGTGTAAACTATGTTTTTATTGCCAGAATTGATGACACATACCTTTGAACTATGATGAAGTTATGGACAACAGAGAAAACAGTTTCTCTATGAATGTGTAACTCAAAGAATGATTTGAAGGCTCCCACTGTGTGCTAGGAATTGTGTGAAATACAAAGGTATACAAATGACATTTTTCTGGGTATCAGTTTATGTGGTTTTTCTCTCTCAAGCTATATTTAGTAAAAGGACTGTGTGTCATTCTGATTTTTTTTGTGTGTGTGTATGTGTGCATGTGTGTGTAGTGTTACAACAGGATATGATAAAGGTTTGAGTTCTTTGTGAAGAAATTGTATGCTTCAAAGATAGTTTTGAAACAGTGGTTTAAATTTTACTCTGAATAATTAGAAAGGAGGAATATTTTCAGTTTTGTAGGTGAAATTTTCAGTATATTATATCCCAGTATTCAACAAGTATTTAGATAGCATCTACTAAGCCCTAGGTGTGGAGCTTACTGCTGAAACAAATATTACCTGTGTTATATCCTTCCTTGTTGATTATGGCTTGTTAGTTACATGCATCAGCTATTTCTGTTTGATTAATGTGATAGTTTTTGTTCTCTTCCTTTAATGCTCTGTCTTCACTGTCACATTCATCTTTGTCTCATTTATATTTGTCTACAATTTCTTCTTTTTTTTAATCCTCACCTGAGGACATTTTTTCATTTTTGTTCAGATAGAGTGGGAGGGGGAGAGAGAGAAACATCGATGTGAAAGGGACACGTCAAGTGGTTGCCACCCACACAGCCCAACCAGGGCCGGGGACAAACTGCAACTGAGTTACGTGCCCTTAGCGGGAACTTAACCCAGGTCTCTCTGGACCACAGACCTACGCTCTAACTGCTGAGCCAAACCGGCCAGGGCTGTCTACAATTTCTTAGTTTAAACACTTTAGCCATTTTTATAGTTGTAAAAACTTTTAATTCTTTATGTATGTAAATTCTCAAAACTCATAAAAATGATAAAGTTATCAATGCATATAATCCTTATAAACACATTCATATATAATTGAAAATACATTATCAAAACATGCGATACACATTCAGTATTAAACATTGTAGAAGTTTTAAGCGTATTTTCAGAAGATTAGGTAAACAAAAAATCATTAATACAATCAGTCTTTAAAATAGTCCTGACACCTGCCATTTGCCAGTCTAAAGATAAACAGATTTTGGATGTATGTATATTCACTGACTTCAAAATGTAAATTACTGAACCTTGGGGAAACACCCAAGTATAGAAGTATTCTTCTACTACTTAGAATGGTATTTTTTCCAGGAGAGATGATGGATGCAGTAAATACTGAATGAATAAATTATAAAACCTCAAACTGATTCTAGGTTGCAGGCTCTGGTTCTAAATAAAATACTATTAATAGGAACGTAAAAATGCATACTTATTTAGAGCATTTTGAAAGTACAGAACATATGGAAAAGTTAAAATTAGCTGTAATCTTTGTCATTAAATTATATTTCTAGTCTTTTTCTCTGTGAATGTGTATATAATACATAGTTCAAATTAATCAGTAGATGAGCATTCCTGTCATTATGCATGTTTTATTTTATTTTTAAAATCAACTTTAGTAAGATAAAATTTGTTTGATGAGTTTTGACTAATGCATACGTCCCTGAAACCACTACCACAGTCAAAGTATAGATCATTTCCATCACTCTAAATCTTTCTCTTAATCCCCTTTGCAGTTAATTCTTTCACACAACCTTTGGCTCCTGCAACAACTGATCTGATATTTGTTACTATAGATGAATTTTGCCCATTTTAGAATTATATATACAGAAAAATTGAGTAGATAGTAGAGTTCCCACATATGCCCTTTATACAATTTCTCGTATTAGTTATAAAGCAGTTTTGATGTATAGCAGTTTTAATGATTGCTCATTCTAGCTTATTAACTTATCATTGGGATATTTTATTTGTTTTCAGTTCTTTGCCGTCATAAATTAGCTATAAGTCTTCATTTGGATTTTTTATTATTTAGGTACATTTCTGGGACAAAGGTTACTAAATCAAAGGGCTTGAACTTTTTAAGTCTTGTTCATTGCAAAATTGCTTTCTGGAAAGACTTGCTTTCTGAGAGTTTTTTGATTATTGCTTCAGTTTCATTAGTTATTTTATGTAGGTTTTCTGATTCTACTTGATTCAGTTTTGGAAGATTGTATATTTCTAGGAATTTAGCCATTTTGCTCAAGTTGTTCAATTGTTGGCATATAGTTATCATAGTATTTTCCTACAATCATTTGTATTTCTGTGATGTCTGTTGTTACTTTGCCGCTTTCATTTATTTTATTTGGGTCCTCTCTGTTTCTCGATGATTCTGGCTAAAGGTTCATCAGTCTTGTTTATCTTGTCAAAGAATTAGCTATTGATTTCATTGATCTTTTGTATTATTTCTTTAATCTATATGTCATTTATTTCTCCTCTGATCTTTCTTGTTTCCTTCCTTCTTTCTACTTAAGCCAGGCTGTTGTTATTCTCTTTGTAGTTGTTTTAATTGTATGGTTAGATTGGTTATTTGAGGACTTTATTTCTTGAGGTATGCTTGTAGTGCTGTGACCTTCTCTCTCTGGGTTGCTTTTTCTGTGTCCCATAGATTTCGGGTTGTATGTTCCTTTTCCTTTGTTTCTAGGAAGTTTTCTATTTCTTCCTTCATCTCATTGGTAACCCATTCATTGTTTAATAATATGCTACTTAGCTGCCATGAGTCTGAATGTTTTTGAGTATTTTATTCAAGTTGATCTTTGTTTTTATGCCATTGTGATCTGAGAGATGCTTGATATGATTTCAGTCTTCTTTAACTTGCGAAGATTTATTTTGTGTCCTGTTGTGTGCTGTATATTGAGATGTTTCATAGGAACTTGAGAAGAATGTATGTTCTGCCCCTTTGGGATGAAATGATCTGTAAATTTCAAACCCAGCTGATCTAGTGTGTCATTTAATGTCACAGTTTTCTTGTTGATTTTTGTCTGGAATATCTATCCAGTGTTATCAATACAGTGTTCAAGTCCCCTACTCTGACTGTATTGCTGTTGATCTGTCCCTTAATGTCTTTATAGAGTTTTTAAAATGTATTTAGGTGCTTCTATATTAGGTGCATATATGTTTACCTGGATTATATCCTCTTTTTAAATTGATCCTTTTAGTATTATATAGTGACCTTTTTTGTCTCTTGTTATGGCCTTCTTTTGAAGTCTATTTTGTCAGATACAAGTATTGCTACTCCCATTTTCTGTGTCTTTTTCTATTTCCATTTGCATGAAAACCCCTTTTTCATCTATTTACTTTCATCCTATATGAGTCTTTTATTCTGAGGAGGATTTCTTGTAGACAGCATACATATGGATCATGTTTTCTCATCTATTCAACTACCCTATGTCTTTGATTGGTGCATTTAATCTATTTACATTTAAACCTGTTATTTATAGGTCCTTATTTATTGCCTTTTTAATTCTTTATTTCTATTTTCTTTTCTCTTTCTTCTTACAGCAGTTCCTTTAGCATTTTTTGCAATACTGGTTTGGCGGTAATGAAATTCTTTAGCCTTTTCTTGGGGGTGTGAAAGCTCTTTATTTCACTTTCAAGTTTAAATGCGATTTTTGCTGGATAGATTATTCGTGGTTTCAGATTTTTGCTTTTCATTACTTTGAATACTTCATGCTGTTTCATTCTGGGCAGTAGTATTTCTGTTGAGAAATAAGCTGACAGTCTTATGAGAGCTCTCTTGTAGGCATCTGACTTTCTTTCTGTTGTTACCCTTAAGATTCTCTTTTTGTCTTCAACATTTGCCACTTTAATTATAATGTGTCTTGTTGTGGGTTTCTTTGGGTTCATCTCTCAGTACTTCCTAAATTTGTATGACTTTTTCTTCACTATGTTAGAGATGTTTCCTGTTACTATTTCATCAAAGAGATTATTCCTTGCTTACTTTCTTTTTCCTTTGGTACTGCTATGATGCAGATGTTCTGTTTTACGTTGTCCCAGAGTTTATTTATACTGTCCTTATGCTTTTTAAGTTTTCATTCTTTATTTTCTTTGCTTCTCTGATTGAGTGATATATTTTCTACCATGTCTTCTAATTTGCTGATTTGGTCCAACCCTGCTTCTTATAAGGTACTCTTAATTCCTTCCAGCAGTATCTTCTTCATTTCATCTATGTCATTCATTTTCAGTTTTTTTTTTTTATTGTTTCTATGTCCTTTTTCATGCTGTTGGTCATTCTAAAAACCAATTTTTTTTAAATATATATATTCTGTTTCTAGTAAGTTGCTTGCCTCCATTTAATTTAATTATTTTCTAGGTAGTCTTCCTGTTCTCTCATTTGGGCCCTGTTTCTTTGTTGTCCCAATTTTGCTATTTCTTTGTGTTTTTCTCTGTGCATTATATAAGACTGCTCTGCCTCCTAGTGTTGGTCGGTTGGTATTCTTATGGTACCCAGTGGTGTAGTCTCCTTGATCTTCTGAGCTGGGTTTTCTAGGAATGTCTCTTGTGTGGGTTATATGGGCCTTCCTGTTGTATTTGGGTCTTGATTGCAGTTGCCCTCAGGATTGATGATTGTGGCTCAATCCCAACCACATCATAAAAAAAGTAACCAAAAAAGACTATGAAGGAAAATGAAATGGAATAATAATAAAACAGAAAATAGATAAAAGAAATAAAAATTTTAAAAAGCTATAATAATGAATAAAATAATGTATAGAATAGGAAAATAGAAATGGTAAAAGAAAAGCAAAGATAAAATTAAAGAATTAAAAATAAATACCAGCCCTGGCCGGTTTGGCTCAGCGGTTAGAGCGTCCACCTGCGGTCCGGAGAGGCCCGGGTTCGGTTCCCGCTAAGGGCATGTACCTCGGTTGCAGTTTGTCCCCGGCCCTGGTTGGCCGTGCGGGTGGCAGCCACTCGATGTGTCCCTTTCACATCGATGTTTCCCTCTCTCTCTCTTCCTCTCTCTCCCTCCCACTCTGTCTGTACAAAAAATGGAAAAATGTCCTCGGATGAGGATAAAAAAAAAAAACAAAAACAAAAACAAAAATAAATAAATAAATAAATACCAAAAAAAAGAAAAGTGAGAGCAAAAGCATAGAATAAAAGGAAAGAGAAATAAGAGAGATGAAAGAATAAAGTGAAGAATGAAAAAGAAAACCCTTTTGATCTTCTATTTGCGGAACTCGTTGCATTTTTTTGTGATGTTGTTCTTCTGGACTTTTAGTGTGTTAGTCTTGGGCTTCCCAGGAGTTACTCTGGTACAAGCTTTGGGGGCTGTGCCCATATCTTGTAGGAGGAGGGTTGAATACTTTCTTTCCTTATAGTTTCTCAGCTCTGCGTGGCTCATTGGCATCCTTTTGCTGCCACCCTAAACAGGAGGAAGTAAACAAAAATAAAATCAGCCCTGTTTGCCACTCTTAATATTTCAGTTTGGCCAGCCCTGCTTGGCAGGGTATCTGCCTAGGCTCCGAGCAGGCCTAACATCCTTCTTCTCAACCCACCTGACCCAGCCGCATGGGTGCAGATTTGCAGGTTACAGTTGTTCCTTCTTGTCCTCAGGATGTAGCTGGGTAGGGCAGAACCAGTCATTTTGCAGGTCGGTGAGTGTCAGGAAATCACCAGGGTGGGATGAACAATGTTAGCTAGGTTGATGGAGACTCAGATATGGTGCCTGCCGGCTCTGTTGGGGCAGGCTCAGCAACGGAACAATGGCCTCTGCCAGTCTGTCTGTCTGGGAGCCAGCCAAGTCAGTTATTCTCCGTAGTTCCCCAGCATCTTTTTGAGTTACTGCCCCAGTACTGGAGCTCAGAGCCTGTGATTCCAAGTAAGTCATTGCATGGGCCCTTTAAGAGGAATACCTGGGATTCCAGGACCCCTCTGTCTCACTCAGTAACAGTCTCTGATGGATTTTATAGCCAAAAGTTATGTAGAATTCTCTTCTCAGCACTGAAATCCTGGGCTTTGTGTTCTAATGTGGGGCTGAGACCCTGGCTCCTCGGGTGGACTTCCGCAGCTGAGATGTCCCTGCCAATTTTTAACTGCCACACACGGGTGTGGGAACAGCCTCTTCAGTGTCTCCACTTCTCCCACCAGTCTCAACCTGGCTTCTTTATATCCTTAGATATAGTACTTGTGTTTAGCTAGATTTTAGGCATTTCCGAATGATGTTATTCTATAATTTAGTTATAATTTTGATGCGGTTGTGTGAAGTTTTGAGTACTGTGTTTACTTATGCCACCCTCTTGAACAGAAGCCTATAATATATGTTTTGATAAGTTATTTATTTTAAGAATTGTCAAAACATTAAGTAATTTAAGGCAATTGAATGTCTAGCAGTATTAATATTCTTGATTTCTAAAGAACAATGTGGGTATCGAAACTTCAGTGAGTAATTGATCAACTTAGGGTTTTCTTATTGAAAAATGATTACCAATTCAGATTTAGTCCTATTGACTATGTGTTTTTCCTTTTTTCCCCAATTCAGGTATTTGCCTAAACTGGAACTTAAGCTGCAGCCATTTCTTTGTGGATTTGTCTAAAAACCTAAGGTGAGGTATTTTTTAATGAACCATTCAAAGTCTGTCATCTGGTCTTTCCACCTTGCGTGCAGCTGCTCTCTAAGCCATTCTTGTCTCAGTTATGAGGATGCTTTTTCTATTTTTTTTTTTTTTTTTATCCTCACCCGAGGATATTTTTCCATTTTTTGTACAGATAGAGTGGGAGGGAGAGAGAGTGAGAAACATCGACGTGAAGGGTCACATCGAGTGGCTGCCACCCGCACGACCAACCAGGGCCGGGGACAAACTGCAACCGAAGTACGTGCCCTTAGCGGGAACCGAACCCGGGTCTCTCCGGACCGCAGGCCGACGCTCTAACCGCTGAGACAAACTGGCCAGGGCAGGATGCTTTTTCTAAAAGACAAATATCATTCTGTCAGTTTGAGACCCAGAATCCTTTTATATCTTTACATTACTTAAAAGGATATTTTGCAAACTTCTTTACAGAGCAGTATAATATGCTCTTTACCCATTTATCTATCTCACTAGAGTTCTAGGAATGTTATGAACTAAATTTTTTTCAAAGCAGCTTTATGGAGATTTTATATTTTTATATAACATAAAGTTCACCCATTTATTTAAAGTGTGCAGTGCAGAGTTTTTTCTTATATTTAGAATTGTGCAACCATCATGGTAGTTTAATTAGAGAATGTTTTTATTACTCCAAAGAGACATTGGTACTAGTTAGCAGTTACTACTGATTTCCATCCTCCACTCAGTCCCTGTCAGCTACTAATCCTCTTTTTGTCTTTGTAGATCTGCTTGTTCTGGACATTTCATTTAAATGGAATCATTCAATATGTGTTTTTTGTTACTTATTTCTTCCACTTAGTGCAATATTTTCAAGGTACATCCATGTTTTAGCATGGATCAGTACTTCACTCCTTTTTATTGCTGAATAATATTCCACTGTATGTATTAAGAGTGCAACTGAATTGGAGAGTGAGCTGAATTTCAAAGTGTCATAGGATAGCAGGTTAAATGTAGCCCACCCAAATCATAGTAACAGTCAAACTTTTATGTACTTACTGAGACAGTATAAGTAGGAGGCTTAACCTGAATTGGGATTTTGATGAGGGATAGTGTTAAATTTGTATTATGAATCTGTAAATCAATTTGGAAACTTTACAATAGTAAGTCCTCCAATCCATGAACATAGGATGTCTTTCTATTTATTTAGGTGTTCTTTAATTTATTCCAGTGATGTTTTAGTTTTCAGTGTTTGTGCCTTGTGCTTCTTTTTTGTTAAATTATTCTTAAGTACTTTACTTTTTGGAATTTTTTTTTTTTTTTTTTGGATTGTTCATTGCTAGATTATTGACATATAATTGATTTTTGTATTATGCAACCTTGCTGAACTGTAAGTTCATCTATTAGTTCTAATGATTTTTAATACATTATTTAGGATTTTTTAATATATAAGATTATTCCATCTTCAAATAGTGGTAGTTTATTTTTTACCTTCCAATATGGATGCCTTTTGTCTTTTCCTTGTCTAATGAACCCTGGCTAAAGCCTTCAACAAATGTTAAATAGAAGTGAGAGCTGATATTCTTTTCTTGTTCCTGAACTTAAGGGAAAGCATTCAGTCTTTCGCATTAGGTATGATGTCACCTGTGGGTTTTTGTAACTGTCCTTTATCAGTTTGAGGAAGTTCCCTTTTATTCCTAGTTTGTTGAGTTTTTTTGGTCATGAGAATGAACAATTATTGAGAACTTTTGATAAGTACCGGGCCCTATGCTAAGTGTTTTATATATAGTATTTAATTTAATTTTTATAATAGTCCTATGAGGTGAAACTGTCATTTTATCCTTATTGAACTGGTAAATAATAGAATCAGATTGTTTAAGTTCAAAACTTGTGTGCTCAACCATTATCCTTTGAATTCCCTGTGCAAACCATGTTGATTTATACACGTGTCTTTGTACATGCTAGTTTACTCCTCCTAGGATATATGCTCCCTTTTTTTTTCCCATCACAGAGCTACCACAACAGCTTGTACCTATCACTGTCATAGTACTTCTTCACTGTGTTGTGATGTTTGCATATATTTCTCTTATTTTAGAATCTGGGCTTCTTGAAGTCAGGGAGTTTGTCATATTTGTTGTTGAATCTCCCGTGTGCCTAGGGGGGAGACATGTCACAGAAGTCAGGAATTAGAGAGTTTAAGAAGGGTGACAGAAATCAGCAGTGTCAGATGCTGAAGAGAGATCAAGTCAAAGAAGGTTCATAAAATAGCTGTTGGGTTAGTATTTTAGTGACTTCTTTTTTTAAAGAATTTAAAAAAAATCCTCACCTGAAGGCATGTTTAGAGAGAGAGAAACATCAATGGATTGCCTTCTCTACATGCCCTGACTGGGTGTTGAACCCACAACTGAGGTATGTGCCCTGACCAGGAATGCAGCCAGCAACCCTTTGGTGCACAGGTCGATGATCAACCAATTGTGACATTCTGGCTGGGCAGCAGTTTGTTTACTTTAAAATTATTTTTGCAAATACACTTACAAGTAAGTAAATAAATAAATATGAAATTTATTTTAATACATGAGAAACTACTGTTCTATTTCTTGCTTTTTCAACTAACTTCTATGCCTCAGAGTCTTTTTTATATGTTTAGATCTAATCTCATTCATGTTTACAGGGTAGTTTGTGTATGAAGACAGTATAAATTATGTAAATTGCATTTAGGTTGACACCAATTTTTATTCCCATAAAAATTAATACAAAATTATTGTAGTACATCAATTCTGTGCCTTAATTTTGGGTTCTGCAAACTGTGCATGCGTACACACACACACACACACACACACACATTGAACAAACTGGTAATTTGTATGCAGTTGACCCCTGAACAATGTAGGGGTTAGAGGTGCCCACCCTTTGTGTAGTTGAAAATCTATGTATAACTTTTGACTCCCCTAAAACTTAACTACAGTCTTCAGTATCCATGGACTTGGTTTCAGGGCCTTCCCGTAGATAACAAAATCTGAGAATGCTCAAGTTCCTTGCATAAAATGGCATTGTACCATGCATACAGCCATACCTATGCATCCACAGATTACCACTGGGGATGGAAAATACTGTTTTTGGTTCGTTGAATCCACAGGTGCGAAACCCAGAAAAACAGAATGCCAACTGTGTTGAAAAAAATCTTCATATAAGTGGACCTGTGAGTTCAAGCCAATGTTGTTCAAGGTCCAGCTGTATACTAAAACTGAATTGTGTTTAAAACATAAGAACATTTTGAGTGAGCAGGGGCACTGGGAGGGCAGGTGCCTGGTGGCTATGGCTAGGCGGCAGCGGTCTAGGCTGTGGCTGGGGTAAGTAAATGGCTTTACCCAGAGGGTCCTATGCAGCCTTTCTCCACTGGCACCCGTGCTGCCCTGCTCCTCCTCCCTGGCCATGGCTTCACATTCTCTGCCTTCTGCTATATGCTGACACTGCTTCTCACTCCTGAACTCATCTTCTTCTCCATCTGGCACCTTATAGCATTTGATTAGCTGAAGACTGATTATAAGAATATTATAGACCACTGTAATACCCTCAGTCCTCTTGTACTTCTATAGTACCTCATTCACGTTTTCTTCTGTGTCACGTTTCTTTGTGCAGCAGAGTAGCTTACCGTGGGTCTCATATGCCCCTCTTGTCATATCATATTTGGAAGTATATGAGTAGACCATTGATGACTCTACCAGTACTCTATGACTCTACAATCATCACGAATTCAGATATTATATTGTCAGAAAGAAGGATAGTGCAAATTAGCTTTATATCTTCTAGCTTTTTTTTACTACCTGTATGGCATGGTCTATATTTTGATGAGCTCTTAAAGCAGCACACAGAAAAAGTGGTCCAGTTAAGTGCTTGCAAAAAACCACCAGATGAAGAGACTCTGTCCAGCAAGATCCTGTTTCTAAGAGTATGGAATCTGATCTGTTATTTTAAAAAACTACTCCCTATTTTTAAAATGTTTCCAAATTTTTATTTTAATTAATTTCAGAGAGAGAAACATCAATGAGAGAGAAACATGGATCGACTGCCTCCTGCATGCCACCTACTGGGGATGGAGCCTACAACCTGGGCATGTGCCCTGACCAGGCTCAAACAGGCGACTTCCTGATGCATGGGACAGTATTCAACCAATTGAGCCACACTGGCAGTTTCCACATGTTTTTGCTGTGGAAAGACTATTTACGTATGTTATGCTTAGATAAAGAATTTAAATGCAATCACATATAAATTAATATAAAATGATTACCTTTGGTGTTGACAAGTTTAAACTTGTACTTTTTAAGGAACAGCTCTAATCTCTTTGAATGATTGCATTAATTATTGGCTGTCTTTGGTTTATTGGAAGCTTTTGTTTATAGGAACTCCTAGGGCTCATTTTGGTTTTATTCAAATGCTATCTAATATAAATTAACTGTAGAGATCAGATGCTGCTGATAAACTGAAAAAAAAAAATATCTGGTCTGTGGGAAACTTTATGGTTTTTTTTTTATTATGTAGATGATTATATATGAATCCATTAAAAAAATAAAGAGAAATGGAATTTTTTTCCCTTTAGACTTGAATATTAACCTTGTATATTGCATGCATTAGAGATTTTCTATATTTTCATCACAGTAATATATTTGCTTTAATTATTAAGCATAATTGAACATGATATAAGAACAAATGCTAAATTAGTTATGAAGAAAACATTTAAAGCTATGTTAAATGTATTTTAATTTGTAAGACATTACTTATCAAGAAATTGGTTATTATGCTTACTGTTCTAGTCTGGTGGTAAAAGTAGTCTTAGGAATTTGCAAGTACTTTAGATTTACAAAACTGAATGAGAGAGAACATTGTACAACCATCGTGCTGTTCCTTTAGTGCAATACAATAAAACTGACATTAAGATTTATTTTTTAGTGCATTGGTTTAAAGATTACAAATAGCTATTTCATAAACTTGCTTAATTCATAATAAAGACATATTATTGCAAT